ATCCGTTATAAAACCAGGGAAAGGTGGGCATGGATGGTGAACTGATTTGGTGGTGCAATGGGCCACTTGACTGGTTTTGCCCCCCAGGCCTAAGGCTGCCAGCCCTCCCCTGCCCATGGGGGCCTTAGGGCCCCCAGGAGTAACTGGGCCCGGGGCAGCTGCCCCTTTTGCCCCTCCTTAAAGACGGCCCTGGGTGTCTCATTATGTAGACAGATTTCCCTTGACTGACTGAGCTGTATTAATAATACCGCGTTATGTAATGTATGTATTGCCCGATGGGATACTGCGTTATATAATCTATGTATTACGGGATGGGATACCACGTTATATAATGTATGTATAGCCTGATGGGATACCGCGTTATATAATCTATGTATTACGGGATGGGATACCACGTTATGTAATGTATGTATTGCCCGATGGGATAACGCGTTATATAATCTATGTATTGCCTGATGGGATACCGCGTTATATAATGTATGTATATATTAACCACCTATTCAGAGAGCTAAAAACTGCAGACATCAGACTGAGTACGCCTTACAAAATGCACATCTCAACTCAGTACGTTGACAGATCTCCCCTGCTTGTATGCGCTTAGTGCTGTGCTCTGAATAGACTCCTAGGAATGGGTGTCATTATGTAGACAGATTTCCCTTGACTGACTGAGCCGTATCAATAATACCGCGTTATATAATGTATGTATTGCCCGATGGGATACCGCGTTATATAATCTATGTATTACGGGATGGGATACCACGTTATATAATGTATGTATTGCCGATGGGATAACGCGTTATATGATCTATGTATTGCCTGATGGGATACCGCGTTATATAATGTATGTATTGCCTGATGGGATACCGCGTTATATAATGTATGTATTGCCTGATGGGATACCGCGTTATATAATGTATGTATTGCCTGATGGGATACCGCATTATATAAGGTATGTATTGCCTGATGGGATACCGCGTTATATAATGTATGTATATAATGTATGTATATATTTACCACCTATTCAGAGAGCTAAAAACTGCAGACATCAGATTGAGTACAACCTTACAAAATGCACATCTCAACTCAGTACGTTGACAGATCTCCCCTGCTTGTATGCGCTTAGTGCTGTGCTCTGAGTAGACTCCTGGGAATGGGAGTCTCATTATGTAGACAGATTTCCGTTGACTGACTGAGCCGTATTAATAATACCGCGTTATATAATGTATGTATTGCCCGATGGGATACCGTATTATATAATCTATGTATTGCCTGATGGGATACCGTGTTATATAATCTATGTATTGCCTGATGGGATACCGTGTTATATAATCTATGTATTACGGGATGGGATACCGTGTTATATAATCTATGTATTGCCTGATGGGATACCGCGTTATATAATCTATGTATTGCCTGATGGGATACCACATTATATAACGTATGTATTACGGGATGGGATACTGCGCTATATAATATATTCTAATATGTGTTCCTTGAAATAAGGTTTGCATTCCTCTGGCTATTGATCTTGCAGTCACTGATTATCTGTATTCTCTCAGTAAATTTTGCTTTGTCAGATCAAAACCCTCTCAGTACATTACAGGGGAATGTCCGGTTGCTCCTCCCAGACAAATAGAGAGATTTGGACTCTGGTCTTCTTGTCCTGTCTCTCTGTGAACGCTTCCATTGACACTGAAACTGGACGGGAAGACACAGTGTGTAATCTGTATTTTAGAAGGACATTCCTTTGGATAACATTCTTCATTCATCAGGGACCCTTAAACGTGGAGAACAATGAACTCTTGATAGCTACATTATTTTATCCCAAACGATCTTTAGGGATCTTTCCACAAGATGTTCCTTGGAGCAGCCAGTAGACTTTGCTGGTGCCCTCAACTTATCATCACTTATCTGCTATGCCTCAGCCAGCTCCTCCTTGCCCAGGAAGGTGAGTCCATGTTACTGCAGACCCAACAGAACTGGCCCAGTGATTAGTGAGTCCATGTTACTGCAGACCCAGCAGAACTGGCCCAGTGATTAGTGAGTCCATGTTGCTGCAGACCCAGCAGAACTGGCCCAGTGATTAGTGAGTCCATGTTGCTGCAGACCCAACAGAACTGGCCCAGTGATTAGTGAGTCCATGTTACTGCAGACCCAGCAGAACTGGCCCAGTGATTAGTGAGTCCATATTAATGCAGAACCTACAGAACTGGCCCAGTGATTAGTGAGTCCTTGTTACTGCAAAGCAAACTGCTCCAGCTATTGGTGAGTCTGTTTACTGAAGGACCAGTCCAGTTTAATGTTATCCAAAAATCATTTTTCGATGTTTAAATCGCCTTTCATATTCATAGGTTTTGTAGGAATAAAATAATTAGATCCCAATTAATAGACAGTTGTTTCTCATGATGTATGTGAGTGATTTGGGATTTTCTCAGTTCTAATCATTTAGGTTGATATAAACATATATTCTCTCTCTCTCTCTCTTTTATTGACAAAATTTACCTTGCCACTTTCTGCGGGGCAGGCAATCTTAGTATGGGTTTTAGAAGTGTAACATAATTAAAGAGCAAATGTATCTGGCTTCTTTTGGAGAAAAGCTGTGATATTTACAATTAAAGGACCACTCTAGGCACCCAGACCACTTCAGCTTAATGAAGTGGTCTGGGTGCCTGGTCCAGCTAGGGTTAACCCATTTTTTCATAAACATAGCAGTTTCAGAGAAACTGCTATGTTTATGAATGGGTTAAGCCTTCCCCCTATTCCTCTAGTGGCTGTCTCATTGACAGCCACTAGAGGCGCTTGCGTGCTTCTCACTGTGATTTTCACAGTGAGAGCACGCAAGCGTCCATAGGAAAGCATTGTAAATGCTTTCCTATGCGACGGGCTGAATGCGCGCGCAGCTCTTGCCACGCGTGCGCATTCAGCCGAAAGGGAGGAGAGGAGGCGGAGAGGAGGAGGAGAGCTCTCCGTCCAGCGCTGGAAAAAGGTAAGTTTTTAACCCTTTCCCCCTTCCAGAGCCGGGCGGCAGGGGGTCCCTGAGGGTGGGGGCACCCTCAGGGCACTATAGTGCCAGGAAAACGAGTATGTTTTCCTGGCACTATAGTGGTCCTTTAAATATATGGATGGAACTACACCAGCCACCCGTCTGCCTCCAAGATTTACTGGCCCAGATTTAAATCTCACTGCTCCTTCAGGGAGGATCCATTATTGTCACACGGCTCCTTGAGGGAGGATCTATTAATGTCACACGGCTCCTTCAGACAGGATCCATTAATGTCACACGGCTCCTTTAGGGAGGATCCATTAATGTCACACGGCTCCTCCAGGGAGGATCCATTAATGTCACACGGCTCCTCCAGGGAGGAT